AACACACTCGTGAAATGGCCCTGAAATTGCATTTCTCTCATAAAAATAATATGTAAACATATAAGGAATATGGGAAAACTCCATAAAGAAAGTGTTTGGGTGCCTCACAAACTCTCCAATGATCATCGTTTCCAATTGTGAACTTTGCTTCGTCTCTTCTGGCACATAATGCGTGTGAACCATTTTTGGACAGAATTGCCACCGGTGATGAAAAATGATCTATACGAATATTAAATGCCAAAAACAATGGCTCAGCCCTAGACAAAACTACTTTTGACCCCCAAACCTGGCCTTCATCCACAGAAAAGGATGCTTTGCATTTGGTGGGACATCAAAGGACTAAAGGAAAGAGATATGAATCGTGGATTTCGTCGATATTTGATTGAAAAGATGGTTCTGGAAAAATTGCAGCATTTGAAATACATTCTGAATACTATTACCATTTCTTCCAGTGAATGTGAACGAGGGTTTATGCAGATGAATTTGATTGTCACCCCAACCAGAGCTTCGTTGATGACAAAATCTGTTTAGGCACTTTTGTTTATTAAATTTATTGGACTGCCCCTTCCACACTTTAACCCAAAAAAATGCGTAGAGTCATGGTTGCTCCAAGAACATCACTGAGCAGTACACACCAAAAGCAAGGAACAAGGATGGGATATTGCATCAGATGCAAACATGATGAAAATTTAGAATTTTCTATAAAAAAAGATAATTCAGTATGTTTTCATCCCTTAATTTTTTATATATATGAGTACTGGCACCTTTTTTGTTTCACAAAAAAAGCACTGGTCCTAGCCACACTACATACTCATGTTAAGCTGCCCACCTGTGAGGTAGTAGCCAATTGAGAAATCTTGCATTCTGCCCACCTTAGCAAATTTAAGCACCATGCAAAAGATTCTTGTGATGCTTTCTTTTTCTTTACCTCTTCTCATAACAATGAATACCACAGTAACATTAGGTGAAGACTATTCCCTGCACTTAATGGATAGAATCTCCCACTGAGTGCTGCCCCACTAGGTTACCTCCTCTGCCTCGTGGATTTCACATGCAGTTGGCATTCAATTTCTGATGCTGTTTTTTGAAAGCTCATCTTTGAAAGTTAACATTTTCTTAAATTGAAAAAGTATTTCCAATAATAATTACCTCCTCTCACACTATATCTATTACTTGACTGCTAGGGTTTCTTCCTTTGCCCATCTAAGCATTGGTCTGATTTTTACTCACTTTCTCCAGTCTTTTATTCCCCACTTAATTGCCCTTGGCAATATCTGTGTACTAACACTCTACAACTACGTCAATGCACCCTCTATCTTGGTACTGCATGTAAGTACCTTCTTCTGATAATATTATCACTTTTTCGAGACTGACCCAATCCACAGTCTCTAACACCTGCTATTAGTGAGGTGGAAGGGTGGGAGAGTGTGACAGGGGATAAGTATTATTGGAAATACATTATAGATTTAAGAAAATGCTAAGCTCCAAAACATACACACCCCACTCACACTACAGCTAGAATCCCATAATGATAAGGTGGAGGGGCCAGTGAGGGCATTATCCATACAGAATGCATCTGCATAGATAGTGGGTGAGCCAATAGGAGATTAGCACCCTAGTGGGGGAACTGTGCTACATCCAGAACAGGTATATTCTTCACCCAGAACCTAAATCATTCAATTCCGGTGGAATGTGGCATGATCCATCAACACTATAAGCCAGGCCCCAACCAGATAGCTCAGGTTTGGAATTATAGGGCCATGGTTCCTAAATCCATGTTGGTGGCTAGGGCATTTGGACTGCAATATATATATATATATATATATATATGTATATATTTGTGACTGGAGCCTCCAGAATCATGATAAGAAGGTAAACAACACCGAAGTGGACAACCCCTCTCCTCAACCTAAAGAAGTCCGAAAGGCAACACTCCAAACTCGGAATGACGGGATTCTATATCAGTATTTAACCTGAGGAAACAGAACTCATCCAGTCTGGAATTATGAACACTCATTCTCACTCCTCAACCATGTGAGCAAAGTAAATTCCACTTGCCCCCAAAATTACGGAAAGGACGTGAAACAAATGGTGCTCAACCAAGGACCCAGGATGGGACCACTCTGCATTGCATTCAGAATTACGAGGAGACAATGAACCCTTTTCCACAAACAAAGTACTGAACTGATATTTATCAAAAAGAAGGAAGGGTACTGCACACTGGAGAGTCCCAAGGAATAATTCTCTGGAAACAATGCAATAACTGAACCAAGTTCCTTAAATTTTTACAAGTAAACCAACCTCAATTTATTCAATCTAATGATCAGCAGGGATGAGCAGGATCCCCTTATACGTTACTCATGATAATCCATAAGTAACAGTTCAGCTTAGTACAGTAATACTACCCAGCCTGCCTCTAGGTGGTCTTATGGAACACCCAATTTCTACAGAGCCTGTTTCATCCTAGATAAAGTATATTGTTAGTGGTTGCTAGTGCAGAATTGGTTTAATAAAAGCACATCTGCCTGGGCAACTCTTGCCACAGAGTGGGATCCTGGAAAATAAAGAAGAGACAATAATAGTAATGAAGATATTCACACCTCCTTATAATCTAGTGAATGTGGTTAAGAGAGCTACTGGGGGTTGATGAAAACCCAGAGAAAGATATTGCCAGATCATGCATATAATGTGAGATAAAAGTATTGGAGGAGGTCCACATACCAGCCCACACAATGTCCTCCAGCGAGCAATTCAACCAGGCCATGAAGGACATAGAAGAGCAATGAATCCAAAGAGATGTGACATGCAGAAGGCTCCTCACTTCCAAAGAGAGCCCAGAATAAATGATCTGGATCAATTATGCAGCCACCTCGACTAAAGGATCCCAATGAATAAAAAGTCATTGTCTAGTACCTATAAAGGTGTTAGTGTAGGCAACATAACACTTCAAGACCTTCATTGGACAACAAATAATCAAGATCTGATCAATCATAGATGTGAGAAATAGTGGTCAGATGGATCAGTGAAAAGGATTTATCTCCTTCCCTAGCTGCCAGTATCTTAGGGAAGAAGAACCTGTCTGAGTATAGGAGGACGTAGGTAGAATGATAAAGTGTCCTATATACAATCAGCATAAACAACTCCAACTGGCAGGCCAGCAGCAATAAAAATTAAACCTTAAGTAAAAGATGGTACATGAGGTTAAGGTCTCAAATGAATGAAGAGAAAGAGCATGAAATACCATCTTAATATACCAGTTAGGTATGTGAAACAGTCATTTAGAACGAAGAACCTGAAACAACTTGAGGAGGCCAGAGGGCACTGAGGAGTGAAATAAATTTCGGCTCGAGTATCTAAAGGTAGTCGATAAAGCTACCTTATACAAGATGATTGTAGAAGAAGCAAAACTCTTGTCAAATAGTTGGTCAAAAAATGAGTTATGGTTGGCACTTCTAGATGAAGTGCATTCAACCTCCTCTCCATGTATGCCATTTCCATTATGGGACTATGCAAAGACTGAAACAGATACATGGCATCCATAGAAGTTCAACCTAGATGCCATGCGAAGGACTTCATAAGCTCCATGCATGAAGCTGGAGCTTCAAGATGGCTGGATGTACGATATCAGATGGCCAAAAAAGAAGTGGAAGAGGTGGGCACTCCTGAAGGTACCGCAGAAGTGGAAATCAGGGCTTTAGCTGCCAAACCAGTGCTATCAGCAAGACCCAACAAGGGATTCAAATTAATCATGCAAATCAGTGGGAAGGCCTAGAGTTGTAATCCCATCCAGTCCTGACTGAAATGCATCTACTGCCAATGCCTGAGCTCGAGGTACTGGAGACCAAAAATGCTGATAGTTGGATGTTCCAATGAGTGGCCAGTACATCAATCAGTGTTCCAAACAGAGAGTAAATCCAAAGGAAAACCTTGTGATGCAGTATCCATTCTGTTGGAAGAATTCGTTTGGTCAAGACAATTGATATGCCATCAAATTTATCACCCCCAAGACATGAAAAGCTAGTAGGGTGATATGATAGGAGTGGGCCCAAGAAAGAAGATCCAATGTTTGAAAACAAAGAGACCTGGACCAAATGCCCCCTTGATGGAAAATACCACCATGGAATTGTCGAAGTGGAGCCTGATGATTTTTCCCAATTAATAAGTCCAGACCGTGAGACATCACCCTTTGAACAGCAAGAAATTCTAAAACATTGTGTAGGAAAACCTCATCATTCATCCAAAGGCCCTGGAATTCCAGGTCATTGAGATATGCACCCATCCCTTAAGCGGACTTCCTTTTCTGACTGAGATACGTGTATAAATAGATACACAGATGGACAATATATTGTGTTGGAGTGAGAATAGATTTCTCAGCTCTGATAATGAAACTTGGCTTGGTTGCTCCTGAAAGTAGAATCTGAGTGTGATGTTCTATCAACTGACGAGATGGTGCAAGCAGTAACTAATCATCCATAGAATGGTGTGTGCACATGCCTAGAGAATGGAGGTGACAAGGAAAAACTTGTATGTAACTATATACATAGCACCTAATGAAATCAAAATCATGTAATGGATGTGTTATGTACTGCTAAACACTGTGTGGTTTCCTAGATGTTTAATTTCTTTGATACACATTAATTCTTACTCTATACTTTCTGAACATTTTTAAAAATATACTGAATTATTTTTGTTTTTATGAAATCATAAATATCCTAAACATTATATATATACCTTTCTTATCTCTTCTTTCTTTAAGCTACCACTATGTATACTGCTTTCTTTGAAAAATGACTCTCCTTTAGGTTTCTTCTTCTCAGCAATATACAGCAAGTAGCTTTCATCATTAGACCACTCCAAACAACCAAATTCTTCTAGAATTAATAAAATTTTCAGTTATTCTTGGATGAGTTAAATATTTAACATATAAGCATATAACAATTAACTTTAAAACTTTATCTACTAAACACATGAGCCACATAACTAAATCTAAACTAGTATAAAGTGAATGTCATTTATATGACTAACATTTTTGAAGTTAGCTTTATATCTATCTTAATTTACCTTCCTTTGAAAAACAAAATCCTACATAATCCTAAAATTTACTGCAAATGCAAAGATTTTCTGCTCTATTACTTGTGTTATTAAGTTTATATGGATAATTTTATCTGAAGTTAATGTAAATTCATTATCAGTCAATCAATTAATCAAGACCTTATAGCTTTAAAAATACAAGTAAGAATTTACTTTTCTGTTTGTGCTTGGCTAGGTTCAGTTTTCAGCATATACTCTAATCATTTAAAGTTATTAATCCTGGAATTACCAATGGGAACCATTAACTTTTGAAACAAATTTTTCTAAATATTTATTAATCAAATTGCTTGGGGGTCCATGATTTTATTGGTTATCATAAAATTAAACAATATGTGGACTTCAGTGGTATAGGACAGAATAAAACAAGTCAATAATTTGATGGATAAAGAAAACAAAAAATAATAAAACTGTGTTTTTTTAGTATAAATAAATATGTGCAACAAATAATTCTGGCAAAGTTCACTTTTCTGAATAAACAATATGTTTCTCAGTCCAAATGCTCACACTGTTACAACATGGTAATAACAATCATATAATCAGTAGTAGTTTAAAACCTGAATTTACTTGGTTAATCTCTGGCCTCAGTTTGTGTATGAGCAAGTTCTCTTTTACACAGAGGCTCTGTTTGTTATTGGCCAATCTTAGGATTTTAACTGACTGTATGACAAATTCTGTTTTTCCAACATTTTCTCCCATTTTAATTTTTTTTCAAATTTGTATCTGATAGATAATAAACAATGAAAAGATCCACCAATTAAAATTGTAGGATGATTATCCTTGTTTTTAATAAAAGTACTATGGTAGTTACAACAGTTTTGGATAAGTTTTATGTTTTTGATAAGCCTATATCAAATTCCTTAAAATAATAATGAGAAACTAAAATAGATGCATCTGCCTCTTCTGAGAGCACTTCAAAACCTATACTATGAATAAGTGAAAGTAGAAGGGAAAGTACTTATGTAATTAGTAAGAAAAATGAAAAGAAGCTGAATCTGCTGTATGAGTGATAGATTCATGTTACTAAAACATTATACATCACATAAAATAAATACAAAAGTGATTAGCAAGATCTCAAATGTTTCAATTAAAATTTGATATTGGTAAGACTTTTAACAATATATACATAAAAACATAAACAAGGACATGCACATATATACAGCTTCTCTGTGTTGCAGTTCTAAAAGAAATATTAACTCCAAAAAACATTTTAACAAAACATCTTACCTTCTAGTACATCTATTTTGACCATTTCCTTGGATGAAAAAATGTAGTTCTAGAAATTCTCCAATTGCTTGTGATAATGTGGTAAGAAAATACTACATCTCATTTTATTACAGTATAAATTTCATGACTACAAAAGTTTTTGATTCTTCTAAAATTCCCAGTTGAAGTTGGGTTAATTTAGCCTTAGATGTGACTTTCTGTATCAGGGTCCAATCACATAAAGTAACTCCTATTTCATGAAATATTGTGAAATGCAGGACTGCTCTAGAAATATCACATAATGCGGGAATTCATTTGATTCATGTGATCCAATTTTCGGACTATTCAGCTAAAATATGCCATTTTAGCATTTTCAAACAGTTCATTACTGACTGAAAAAAGTCCCGACTTGTTTATGACTTTTTGTCCCTGTTTTGAACTGTATTTGTATAGCTTCTACAGCTTTTTGTGTACACCCTTTTTTAAGTTAGTAAGTCAAATAGTTTGTAATTTATTTTCAAAGTAAAGTTTATTTCAACTTTATTTTATTTAAATAATAAATTAACACAGGTAATTTATCAAATTCTCAATTAAGTTAAGTACACTTCTATAGTTCACCTGCAAGACAATCACCTATTCTATTGTTTACCTGTCAATAAAATTTTTATTCAACTTGACATCATGCATTCTTTTAAATTCCACCTGCAATAAGTCACTAGACACTATATCCCTACATCTATACTTATTGCAAAAATAAGATAACTGGGTGCTAAGTTTGTTTTTGAAATATAACAACGAAACATAAGTTATATCATTCTCATCTTAAAAAGTAATTCCAAATATGGTTCTTACAAGGATGGTGTTAGAATTTAAAATAATATATATATATATATATATATATATATATATATAAATTTCCTTTTTTGCCAATTGCCAAACAGAAAAACTTAGTTATATTTCTTAATAGTATAAATAGATACTGTGTTGTTGTTGTTGGGCTTAGGATTCTTCTACAGTGGGTGTCTGTGAGTTGTTAGCAATAAATTCAACGATAAATAAACAGCACATACTTCACTTATTTTGAAAATAATGTATATATATTCATATCACGTTAACGTATGTACAATAAAGTATTCAACACTATAGATATTATGGACATATCATAAATACTACATATGTAGTTCTCTCCTTCTTGTCAAATATCCACTTAGGACTATTCAATTACTTTCGAATTTCAGTTGACAAGCCGAACTATCTTCTCTATTTCTATCGCACTAGTATTCTCTATGATTCACTTACAATTGTGGTGTGAGTTACTGTAATAGTTTGGTCTTCTTTCTTTTAAAGATCCTCTGTTACTTTTGTCAAAGTGCACTCAGGCTGATTCAATTACTTTAGAACCCTACTTTGACAGAATAAAATTATTTTTCTTATCTTCTTCTCTACTGTTAGTTTCACTCTAACATATTAAATGTTAGGCCTATGTAAATCATTAGGCCTATCACTTCTATGGTAGTTAACTTCACACCAACTTTATTTTCTTTTGCTATTATCTGTCTGCTGCTTCCCACTCATCTCAAGCTACTTATATCTTTATTACCTAATCGTCTGTCCGCCTTCTATACTCTCGATGTCAATATATTGCATGTCACGTTCGATATTCTCAACATCAATGAATTATTAACAAAACTTACTACAATTGTCTGCTTTTAACTCTTATAACAAAAACTAAACAATAATAAAACATTCACTCATAAAATTAATTAATCAACAATATCTGAACAAAACAATTTTATACAAATGGTTTTATACTAATGCATATAATACAAAGCTGTGTCACATCCCATCAATGTCAAGAAAGACTTAATTTTGTGAATGAAAGTGCTACAAAAAGTGCTAAAAAACATTCCAAAGTGATTCATGTAATGTAAAACCAAAAGAACAAAGTGAAAATAAAATGTTTCTTGAAAATGTGATTTGCTTTTGAGAGAGAAAGTTCATACACTTAGCAATGTAAATATTATAAATGACTGTTCTTTATCATCCTTGCAGTGGTAAATAACATATCAGCAATATTATGAATGAAACACACTAATATTATTAAGCACAAGCACAAATGAAATTACACACATAAATAAAAAATATTATACTTCCAAAATTACTGTGTATAATAAATCTAGAAATGTTATAATAAAGAAAACATACATTATGTATGATAAAACTGAAAACCTAGTAATAAAAATTAGAATATTTCTAGGTAAAATCCAAGTATTTACAAAAAGAATCACATAAATGGAATTCAGTCTGATAACTTTGTTGTCACTGATAATATTTTTATAACTTATAAATACATATACAATGTGTATATAAATATGGTCATGCAACATTGGACTCTTTACGTAGGTTATTGTCAGGCATAATAAAATAAAATTTTGCACAATAGTAAATGCAAAATCAAACTAATCATCTAATCACATGAAGCAAAGACAACATTAAAATTAACCAACAATGTTACTGACTCTATAGAAATAGTATCAATGGAGGAGAAGAAATAAAATGAAAAATATTTAATTTTTCAAATAAATATTGTGTTTATAAAATTGTTTATTAGAAGATCATTTGCTTGAAAAAGCTGCTTTAAAAAAGTTAAGCATATAACAAGATTGTGTTATATTTAAAACAGGGGAAGATTTGCTTTATGGAGAGATTTTCTTTGATTAAAAGTTCAAGATAAGAATCATCATTACATATAATAGTGAATCCTGACTGAGTTATTGGATGTTCACTTTCATATCTATGATATTTTTGATAACTGAACTGAATTGCCTTTCAAAGGATGTTACCTGGCCTAAGTGATATTCTCTTGTGCTCGTAGATGCAGACAAAAAATGTAACTTAATTTTTCTGATATAGGTGGCCTTACACTCACTACACATGTAATTATCGATAATCTAAGAATTAAAAAGAGATAGGAAGAAAATCTTTCATTTTGAAGATACATTTTAATGTAAAGGATGGTTTGAAAATAATGTCAATTTTTATCTTTGAGTAGACTTTCATATTAAAAACTTAAGTAGTTTAGAAAGTATGGTATTTTGTTGTCCTAAGTAGGAGATGGTCAAAGAAATTGGGCATTTATCAATTGTGAAAATTTTTACTAGCGTTTTAAATAATTTGTTCAGAAATATCATGTCTAGCCTTCAAATAGTTTATTAAAGTATCTATAATACAACAATATTTCATTGAGAAAACAATCTGAAAATGTAAAATAAGTTTAAAAACTTAAAAGATCAAGTCAAGGTATGTTTCAAGGTTGATCTTATATCTTACAGGAATAAAATTATCAAACTAGGTGAGCTGTCCTGTGAATATTTTCTTTTGATAGACTAAAAAACCTTGAGCATCTCCAGTAATTAGCACATCTATAAAACGAAAAATATTCTGTTTATCATTTTCACAGGTAAACTTTATACATGAATGCTACAAGATTAACTATAAAAAAAAATGAAATAAATCTTTTGACCAAAAATATGATAAAAGGGTCATCAAAATAGCATTTGTAAATATTGATTTCAAGTTCTCTGTCAGTCGTTCAACTGAGATTGTTTGTGGTGACTAGCTAGGATTGGTCCTAGTGGGGACCTCATAATCACATAATCAATTTGGTGATATAGTTTTTACATTAAATACAAAAATGCTTGTTTTTTACAAAGTGGGTAAATAATTATCTAAGCTGTTCCTAGTTACATCAAAAGTAGCCATAAAACATTCATTAGGGGGATACAGATTTTTAAGCTCTCAGACTTGCCACTGAGCCACAAGGGAGGGCTGTCTTACTTTGTTTAATTTATACTTTATTTCATCCAAAACAATATATTCTTGAAGAAGGAATCCTTACTGTACCTTTATGTTAGTTTAATAAGTATGAAGCCACTTTTAAAACATTGTACGAATAATATGTTTTGTTTATTATCCTCATTTAGAAATAAAAAGGTATGTTATAGGATCTTTGTAAATCAACAACACTAAACATTTTATTAAATGAAGTGATCTTCAAGTGATTTTTATACTAACTTTTTCTTTACAGATTATGTCATTGTCAGATATAAAAGACTGTTTAGTGTAAGTTATATTATAAATTGATTTATTTTGTGTGTGTAATTCATTGATGTCAAGGCTATCGAATGTTGTGTGCAATCCACTGATATCGAGGCTAGAGAGATTTTTAGAAAGCCTAAGTGATAGACATATATATAGATATATTGGCAACCAGATGAACAAAAAGAGAAAGTGTAAAAAAGAAAACTCATAGGAAAGAGATGTTTGGTGAGAAAAAAAGTTAGAAAATGCAAAGTTAACTGTAATAGGAGTGAAAGGCCCAATTGATATGTTAGAGTGAGATTAATAGTTTGAAAGAGATAAGGAGAATAATTTGTCTTGTCAAAGGGTATTCTAAGCTAATTGAACCTGGCTGTGTGGACTTTCACAAAAAACAGACAGTTGTTTGGAAGCACGAAAAGTAGACGACTATTGGAAGTACAAGATATAACCGCAGTAACTCATGCGACAGTGTAAGTGAATTATATATGGATATTGTTGCAATACGAAAAAGTGGAGAAAAATAGTTCAGCTTGTCGACTGAATTCTAAAGCAACTGAATTGGCCTAAATGGACTTTTGACCAAAAGAAATAAACTGTACAGTGTTTAAGATACAACCAATATATATATATATAAAATAGAAAAATAGTTTGGCTTGTCAAATGAATTCTAAAGCATTTGAATAGGCCTAAGTGGACTTTTGACAAGAAGAATAGAATTTTATAGTGTTTAAGATACAACTATAATTTCATAGTGTAAAGAATTTTGTATATATGTTCAACTTGTTTCTAATATATATATATTATTTTAAAAACAAGTGAAGTGCATGCTGTTTGTTTATTGTCGAACTTACTTAGAATTGTAGTGTTTAAAATACACCTATAATCTCCATAGTGTAAAGAATTTTGTATATACATTCAACTTGTTTCTAATATATATATATTATTTTAAAAACAAGTGGAGTGTGTGCTGTTCGTTTATTGTCTAATTTATCGCCAAAAAGTCACAGACATCTACTGTAGAATAATCCTTAGCCCAACACACCCATATACTTACTTTAAATATATACTATTAAAAAGTAAGTTCCTGACACTCATAAACATCTTCTCAATACTTACTATCATCACAAACACTCCCATGAGCTTCTAAGTTTTGAAGGTTGACATTAAGAATTTTCAATTTGCTAGTCCAAACCTGGAAAGACAATATTTAGACAAAATTGAACAATGTTATTATTTATATTTTTCTAATAATTTATAAGGCTTGAATTTGATACTGCCCCATATGACACAACCATATATAATTGATTTTGTTTTTCAAGCACTTCATATTTAAGGAATAAATAATGCCTCTTCCATATTGTTAATGAACATGGTAAATTGTTTTTCACAAACCATGTTTTACAACATAGAAAAAAAGTGCATGACAAAAATCTCATCATATATGTTCATTCAAAGAAACTGTAAACAACAAAAATAAAAAATATGATGGAAACAACCATGCATCAACCTTCAATTGTCCATTTTTGCTACAAACTTGACAACAGTATACAGCAAGAAACAACACTGTTTTCAAGACCTAATCAGTAATTTTTATTGCTTTAAAACCCAATAGGCTGTGGATGTACTGAGGCCAATACTAATCCACCTTAAAATTATTCATCCCTTTGGGTATGTTTATAAAATGACAGTATTAGATTTGTATAATATTGCTATGCAGTAGTATATCAAATTATATATTTTTTTAATGAGTTTTTAACAAAGTTGTGATTGATTAATTCCAATTTTCATAAAAAATTTAGGTGTTAGAAGTTATATTTGACAGCCATTGTAACATTTTACATTATTTCTACAGTTGTTACTTTCTTTCTTGGGGAAAAAATTATAAAAGCAAACCTTGTAGGAAGTAGTTTAATTTCAGGAATGAGTTCTGAGTTCCATTTAAATTAGTAAATGTTTGTCTGTTGTTAAGCACAAAGCTACACAATGGGCTATCTGTGCTGTGCCTGCCATGTATATTTAAATGCAACTTTTTGGCATTATAAACCTTTAACTTGTTGCTGAGCCACTGGGAAGAAAATTAGTGAATGAGTAAACCAGACTGTTAATCAGAACTAAGAAAATTTGTGCCTTATATTATCAGTAAATAATAATGAATGTACTTAGCTCTGTGTGTTTGTCTCCTTAACTAGCCTACTTCTAGTTTAGGATTGTAAAAATTCTCTAAGAGGCTGAGTGTTACTAATAAATGAAAGAACTAGTCAAAGGTATCACTATTATTTTCTGTAATTGTTCTATTTTATTCAGTATTTAAACCATTTTTATTTAAGGAGTCTATCTTTTAATCTTGAAATAGCACATTGAAAGTCATTTATATATCAGTATCCATTTACTTATTAGTACAAACATATCATTGCTGCAATTTATGTAGGACTTTCAGAGGTATTATCATTAGCATTAAATTGCATCAACTCTAACAAATAATTAAACATGTCATTCAGTCACAATTTTTTGACAGTTGATTGCTCACATTGTTTGTAACTGTAGAAAAAAAGGGCTGATCCAAATTGAAAGACAGTCTTGAATTTTATCACATTGTGAGAAATATTTTTTTTCACATATATAGTTACTGGCAAAGAAATGCATGTGACTGACAGAGCTAAAAATTTGATTAAATGAAGTTAGTAATTGTATCAGCATTGCATGTAGAAACTTCACATGTATTTCAAGATTTTATTAAGTCTAATCTTAACCTAAGTGTATATGTAACAATGTTTTCATCAGTTTTCAATTAAGTTCTTGTTATATAATTTACATATCTGTGTGTGTGTGTGTGTGTAATAATGAAATATAAATAATAATCACTAGCCCACTTGCTGACAAGTTCCAACAATGTTTCTGACATTTAAACAAAGATGACCACAGAAAAAAATTGGACAAACAGAACAGAACATGTTAATACATTTGTACATAACGATAGCTTGAATCTTTTCCTAACAACTGACTAATCAGATCTAAAAATCCAGTAACCTTATGCTAGTGAATTATGACCACTGCTGGTATTTGTGTATTACTTGTATATTTCTAAATATGCAAGACATGGCTGAAATGTTTTGGTATAGATCTGCTCAGTTATATTGTTGGTATGTACATAACTTGGCATACAACTAGTAAATATTAAAATATGTTCTGACCAGTATTACTATTTTCCAGAACTTTGTGTGAAAGATGAAGGTCAAAATAATGTTTATACAATACATAAAATTGCCAGTTTAACATCTTAGCTGAATCAATAGACACACACGTCAGTAATTTTACCCATTTTTGAATCATAAACAATTATGGAATTTAATATTCCCTTGATGTTAGCACACTATTTTCTAAATTTAGTTATGTGATTATCTAACTACACTTTGTCACCAAAGACGAACAAGATTTGCATGATGTCAAACATTTAATAAGTTGAACAGCTGTGTTACTTTGTCACTCTTACTATAGGCATATAAAACTGCACTTGATAATGAAGCTTATAACTGGTATACTCAGCTGATCCTGGAATACATTTTATAAGTTCAAATTATATTTCACATAATACTCAGTAGACTCAAGTGAATAAGAAATACAAAATGGCAGATCTAAATGGAAATATTAAACACCCTTTCACAATTAAAATGCATAAAACAAGTTCAAATTGTTCATATGATTTTCTTCCTAAAGAACAAAAAAAGCTATTACCAAAATCATGATGTTGTCAATATCATAGAAATTTATAAGAAATTGAGATATATTCATCAATATATAAAAGCAGTCTCTCTCTTTAAAGTAATTTATCTCTTTTTTAACATGTTTATTGGTTTTGAATTCTAACAGTCTTAAGTATCCCATTGTTGAATAATTACTTTGGATGGTAGCATTTGGTAATGATATTACCAAATAATATGTGTCCTTTATTTTATTTTAGAATAACTTCAACTAACAGGCTTAGAAAGCTGGTGTCAATATGCCTTAAGCCGGGTCTAGATTAAATGAATATAACCATAACTGAAATAGTTAAAATGTGATTTCTCCTTTTTCACTTTATTGTTTTTATACGAGATGAACATTTAACACATGCAAGTATAATACATGACAAGTACCTGAGCCTAAAACATAAAAGTAGAATGAACACTTTATGTCTTACTTCCAAGTATTGCTGTTTTTCCCCTTTCTTGTTTGGTGTTTCGCTAAGAATGGCTAGGAACTTTCCAGATGAAGAAACACTAGATAGCTTCCTAAAATATAAGTAGAACTACTTATGTAATTGCCATGTTAACTGAAATTGTTTTACTATAATAAAAGGAATAGTATAATGTTTTAATAATTATAATTAAAATTATTTCTCCAAGTTTAGTAATGTAAAGCAAACATATTTCAAGGTTTTTAATTCTTGAAGAAGCACCACTGTAGGTATACTTAATGAATGAAAAGGTTTGTTTGACTCACAAGAGACATAGAATCAAATAATAAAAAACAATAGTAATGTTTGTCCTACGCAAAATCCAAATATCTTCAATTATTCATATTAGATTTTACAATGCTTAAGCATGCCTTCTTATACGTTTTGGGATTTGTGCTGATACCATCAATGACAATTCAAACCTAAAAGAAACTGAAACTATTGGTAAATCAACTAAAAGTTACTTTAAGTAAGAAAATTATATGCAATAAAAATCAACATCTCTAATAAGTTTTGACCTATATAACAGAAAACCAATATACAAGTTTACTACATTAGTATACCTCAACATGATTGAAACATCAACAATTAACTTCCATTTCTTTTTTATCAAGCACATAATGCTTAAACTAAGTATGTTTATAAATTATTAAAGTTCAACTAAACCAAATTATTTCAAAGTAGTTGCCTATGATTATGAAAATCATACCACAGTGTGACCAAATTCTTCATTACTGAACAACTCGACTGTCTAATATTAGTTGAACATTTGTTTGTACGAATAGCAGTGGCTAGAAATTAACATCTTGCATTTTAACAGCTGCACATCTACTGCTTGAAAGGGAAGGATATTTTTAAATGTAATTAACTCTTTCAGCATGTGCTCGATCCGTTGGACCGATGTCGTAACCATTTTGTGCTTGATAGAGTTTTCATGCTATGACTTTTAAATTAGTAAGCGTATGTTCACGAAATTTGGCAGATTATCAGTAATCATCCCAAGGCTGTCATATGCAAAATATGAGATTTTTTTTATTAAGTCTTAAGGTTTGTTAAGCTTTTTCATTCTAGAATGACTACAAATTATAACACGAAAGCAAAATTGTTTAGACTAAATAGCTTAAATCTCATAATATTATACATTTATATATATTTATTATTTTTTATTATATTGCCTTTTCAGCTGTGCCTGGCTAACAATACAGAAGTTACAATGATGTGGCTCACATGCACTCATGTTACCATATCCAATAATATAAAACTCACCTTTAGCCTTTACAAAGTGATCTGTCTTGGCTGTGGACTAGTCACATTCAATTATTATACATTATATATGTATATACATTATTGCTATTTACAAATAAGTTCTTAAACTTATTTTTCTTAAAACATAGAACAGTAAATAAAGATGTACAGCAAACAATTATCTCTTCTAGTAACGACCTTTGAACTCATTTGCTGCTTGTCGTAGGTTGCTAAGACTCATAAAATTTTGCATGTGGAGGATGTGAAACACAAACACAATAATTTTATTTTAGGTTTTATATATACATTTGAAATAACCAAAAATCATATATTACTATATCGATACCACAGAATTCCACTATAATTTATCAAGCTTAGTAACTACGCTGTATTTGGGTCTAAAAAATATTAAATTTCGAGCAGACTAAAGACTCAACTTACCACCTTGAAGTTTAGTATCAAAAGAACAAGATGACGTCGTAATAGTTGAAAATGACTGAGAAAGCCACTAGGGGGGACATTCTTAGCTTTTGACTGGTTATTTACATGTCATATACAGAAGTAAGTGTATATAAAAGTGTTTCCTAAAATGGAAAGATGTTAGCAGGGCCACTGCATTTGATTCAGTACATGAGCAATATCTCAGCACATAGAATATTTTATATTCTATCTTGTCAATATCTGTAATTTGAGTTCCTAATTCGTACAAAACTATAGGCTTTGTATTTTGACATCACAAACATCTAATCTGAACCAGTGCTGCATTCAGCATACCACATGACACAAAAAAATCATTGTTTAGGTGTGTGTTTTTAAATTTACTTTTAAATTAAGAAATTGAATAATGTATAATACTAAAATTTGAATTATAATATACAGTTTGATACCAAACTTATTGACATAAATTCATAGAATAGTAGTTCAATAAACTTTTGAATGTGAGTCAACAAACATGATGACATGGTCTTTGACCCATGACCCATGCACATTTTTTTTAATTGAATATCTTGATACTAATGAAATACATAAAAACAAATCACATTCAAAGTTTCAACCATTCTTCATTTGCAAATATTACACAGATAGCCCACTGTGTGTATTTGTGCTTAACTCCAAACAACAACAACAGATATTACATTATAAATGTGGTATTCTCAGGTGTACTGATTTCTCCCAAGAGTAATCGGGTGGGTTACACAAAATAACATGAGTTTAAACTGCAAATGTATTATGAAGCAAATCTGATTTTAACCAAGTATGAAGAATGAAAGAGATTGGACATGATGTGAAACACAATAAAACAATCTTCATCAAACACAGAAAACTATATCAAAGGTGAAAAATTCAAAAAACAACAACAAGCAGTGCCTTTACTGGAAAGTTAGCTCTAAATTTTCCTAAGAACTTCATAATAGGCTTATCAAGAGCTAGTTACGTTTAATGATTAAACCTTGAGAGAAAAAGTTAATACTTAAACAAAAACTTTACTTACTAAACTGAAGGCTTAAGCTTGAGAAAGAAAGAGAAAGCCACCTGAGAGAACACAGCATTGTACAAAAATTTTATAATGTATCCCTCTCAAGGCATGTGTACAACCTACATTATTGTTGGCCACTGAAAAATAAGGCATTGTTACGACAGCGGTAGTCACGTGATGCCGGTAATACGTCATGGGTTTCTAGAAGGATCATGACTGTATATAAGCCGGCAAATAAAGTGACGGCATAGATAAGGGCAGATAGGGAGATACAGAGACAGATAATCGAGTCGAGTGAGCGGTAGTGACCGTAAGTAAAGTGTGTGAATCATTGTGAATTATAGCGTGTGTTTAAGTTAAAGTGACGGTGGAAATTCTGTGTATTGCAAAGTTGTATTGAGAAAGAATAAACTAGTTTTATTTAAGAAAGGACTTGTATCACTGAAGTTCTTCAGAAAGAATTTATTCCAACCATTCAAAGAATCAAAATACTGTCATTATCAGTTTCAATTAATTCAAGGTAGTTCAGCTTAATAGTATAAAAATAATCAACTAACCAACATTAATGTTACAAATTATTAATATTTGATTATAACTATACATCTCTTATGTGAGAATAATTTATTAGCTGAGTGAAAGCTCTATTACAGCTTTACTGTATGAACTATGCATACTTTTCACACATGTAAAACAATAAAAATTACCAAATTCAGACTTAGATTTTCTTCTTCAAACTACTAAATCCTTGAATAAAAATCACGAGTAATTTTCTCATAGTATTAAAAAAATTTATTTCATTTATTAATTTTGAAATAAACATTTTACACAATAATTTCTGGACCAATTAAAAAATGAAAAGATTAAGTTTTTTGCTTAAGTCATCAATGCACAAAACAAAGACTTTTTTTGAGTAACACAAACAAAGTCCACCTGTTGGAAAGCATTCCTGAAAATATATTTTTCTGAAGCATTGCAGAAAGCATAATGAGAGAGATGGTAACAGTAATAGATTCCTTGTATTTAAATGCATTTATCATGTATTACTTATTTAAACCGAATGTTAACATTTTTCTTACACTGAAAATGTATTTCGAATAGGTACTTACCTCCTCTCACACACACACACAAATCTGCCCTCTAAGAATTGCTTAAACAATTTTCGTAATCAGTGCACCAGTCTATATACCCCATCAATTTTACACCATTTCTCAACCTACACATATCATGTGACTATTTGCAGCTAGCTTTCACTGCTATTCCCACTTAATCCTCACTTCCGAGAATTAGCAGGCTTGAAAAGAAAAACACCAGCAGTGGGAAGTGTGTGAAAAGAGGTAAGTACCTGTTGGAAATACATTTTCGTTGTGTAAAAAAATTTTAACTTCCAGTATGGTCTTACCTCCTCTCACACAAAACTAGAATCCCACATTGCACATGGACCATGTTATTTATATATATATAAATATATATCAACTCCAACTGTAAATATACAGTGTTTTATGTCAAGCAACCAGAATTACAAAGATGAAGTGAGCTTTACGCTGAAACCGAACAAATTTACAAAACAACCATAGGAGCAAGAAGTACAACAAACCGAACTTGTCATTACAGGATTGTAACATTGCCTCAATTCAACCATAAGAACAGGGTAATATCTGTAACCAGTATTACGAGCAAAATCATAACTCACTCAACCCTAAATGCAGGGAAGGGAAGAGACATTTTGCATCCTGAAATAGGAGGAGGATATGCAACACTTGCTCAACCATAGGAACAGTGTACATTGCTGGTATTACAAGGCAAACAAAGTCTCCCAAACTCAACAACAGGAGCAGGGAAAGAACTTCCTGCAACCAGAATTAATGGGAAGAGAAGTTTCTACTGCACACAACCAATGGAACAGAATGGTATCACCCTGAACCCGGTATTATGATGAGTATCCCACATAGGCTGGACCTGCTCCAACCAACATCTTTCCACCTGGGAAAAAGCATCCAGAGAAATCGGAAGGAGGGAAACCAGCTCTGCCCTCTTCCCACTAAGTGTATAATCAAAAGTAGGTATGGTAAAGTGAATTCTAAACTCACTCAGAAGGAAGCATCCATAGTCCACCACCTCAGAGACTGGGAACTTAAAAGTGGTAAGGACTCCCATATTCCACTGGAAGAAAAAAGGGGGGGAGTCAAGAGGAACATTACACTGCTTTACTCAAGAAGTCCATGTTTAATGAGTGAAAGTTATTGATATCTAGAAATACACACACAACTGGTTAGGCCACCAGTGATCTTGTGGAAACACTCCATCTCTACAGTGAGTGCTATATATGGCTTGAA